GACTGGAGATAACACAGTTCTTCTCTTATATCCGACATAAGACTCTGGGATTGCTGTGCACTAAAGACATTTTTTAGATTCTATAAAAGGTTTATTCTTCGTAAGATACACACTCAGACGATACTGTATGTCCAATTCTGCAAGACTTCTATGTAGTTCAAGCTCAGTAAAACACTACTGGGTGTACAGAGCAGACATGACATAATTATTTGATGTGATGAACTGATAAAAAATACAGTGACGACCTGGATTATGTCTGAAAAGTGACTCTTCAGCATCAACCCGCGAGCAACAGTAGGATATGCAAGTAATCACACAGAAGTATGTGTGCTGTATTTTCTACTTTATTACATACTACAACTATAAAGTGTCCACAATTAATTAACAACGTCCTTGAGTAATCCAAAAGCAACTAAACTAAATATAGCTAGGAAAAACAAACAACATTTATGTTTGAGAAGATGAAGTCAGTTATTCCTTAACATATTTACTTAACAAATAATCCCTTGAAAAGCAATATTCTAACAGAATCAACACTTTTAGTCTAGTTTGAACTGTAATTATTTGGGTGTTTTAGTGTCTAGTTAAAGAGGACAGCTCAGAATGCAGGGTTTCCCACTTGAATATGTCAACTTGTAATATTAAGGTAATAGTGGAATGTGCTCGGAACAATATGTACCTGCAAATGACTGCAGCCCTAGGTGTGCATGAGGTTTGTGTCACTTGCAAATCTTATGCAGAATACAAAAAATAAACTGATTTCAACACCAATATTACACAGATCAGTGTCTACTTAGCAGTTCAATATGTCTGTGATCATAATGAAGAAAACTGTGCAACGCATCGTTGCTTTTCTCTGTCCGACGACGCTAATTAGGCCAACACCACATGCAAAGTAGTCCAGAAATTAGGTAACCACAGCCTCAAGACAAGCTGGATAGTTTACAGAAAGATCACATTCCACATTCCCTTCTTCTACTGTGGCAGTGACGAGGATGTAACTAATGTTAGAAGCTCCAACTTCAGCACTTTGCACTCTGTCAACACTGCACAACTCATCGTGATCGCGCTGGGATTCTGAAGTGACTCAGCCGGGCGCCAGGCAGACAGCACACATTTCAGACAGACAAACTGACATTAAAAAGAAATGCCAAACCTCCTCAGTAAATCCGGGAGTAATACAGTGTTATATGACAGCTGTAGCAAGACAGTTTTTTTCTTATCTTATGCCGTCCCCTCCCAAATTAAAGGCTGTAAATATATTTCAAGCTACAGACTCGGTGGTGACATTGGCTCAAGCCGAACGATGTCCGCGAAGGAGAAAACCCAGAATAACACAGAATCAGGTGCACACGGCTGATAAACTGGCACAGACACAAAGACACAACAGTGTTGGGGGGGAGATAACAGCAAGTTTCAAGCACACCAGCCAACGCCACTGCTACCAGCCTTGTTATCAAACTGTTTCCCCTCAAACACTAAGCAAAGGAAACCAGCAGGTAATAACAAGTCAGACTTGTCACACGCAGTTTGCGAGCATCTCCAACCAACTTAGCAACAGTATTTCACACCTTCGTACGAACTCGAGCTGGAGCTGAGGGATGGTAATTAAATTTTTTCTGAGAGGGGTCTCTTCAAGTCTATTTGCAGGAAATATGAAGGAAGCTTTCTGGGTATGTGGTGATACTGTGGTGATTAAACACATTTAGCAGGGGAAGTTTGATTTGAAAAGGCAAAAACCTGAAACATGAGTTCCCTCAGCAGGTTAAGGAATTAAAAACAACTTTATTAATAGAGTATCTAACAAATGTAAATACCTGGTCGTGCACCATATACCATTGGACAGTGGATAAGGTTTCTGTAGTGTTGAACCAAGTACTTTATTCTAACGGCAAAAATAATAATAATCACTTAATGTAATGATAATTATTTACACCGAAAAATAATTGTGATGTCAAAGATAATAAAAACTTTGCTCTAGACAGTGCATCTTTCTCAGTAAAGGCATGCGAAAGCCGGATAACGATGTTAGAGCCTTGTTTAAAAGTGGTAAAGGGAAATGTGACTACTGACCACACCACCTGTGAATCAGTGACACGTTATGCTGCATTAACCTGATTTCTCACAGTAACCTCATTTTCCGCATTCTCCGTAAACACGACCTTAGAATTTCCCAATAAGTAGATACAGTGGGATCCACTGTGGAGGAAACATTTTCCCACACTTCAGGTCTAATATGAACACACCATCTTGTCACTGAATCATTTTTAATAACACTGAACCCAGAGTAACCTTGACTGCAATATAAGCACGCTCTGTAACAAATATCAGCCCACTGGCACCTGTAGAAGTTAGCCATAAGCTGACTCACCATAGACATTAAGATGAAATGATACATTGATGTTACAGCATCATGCAAAGGGATCTTAAGTGAAGAATGTTGATACGGGATACTGAGAGCCAGTAGAGAGACGCTCAGGACAAAATGTTCAAGCTAAAGCTGAGGTGTTGATCTTGCCTGCTGGTGAGACATTCGATAGTTTCTACATTTCAAAAGCGTCTGTCAGGAATAATCAAGTAGGCCTACTCTCCCCTTAAACTGTTTCCCTTAACTGACTTAGTTTTTTTCCACCCCTGAGGCTACAGAGACACGAAGACACCACAAAACAATGTGATCTATGTTAGAGGAAGATCACCAACCACTGCAATTTTCAAGGCACCAACAATCGTTAATTAGTAATGTCATTTATTATGTGGTGAAGTCAGACGTTAGCTCACAGCAATTATGAAGACATCAACAGTACAGCTGCAATTGGGAAGTGTTTATCAGACAAGAATAAAACTCCTTACAGATAACATTACACAACATCAGATGAACTTCGACTTTTGTCCCAAGCTTCATGAACAAGGGATGCAAGTAATGGCTGTGATCGATAATCCCCTCAAATGTCTTGTTGCATCTACAACCCCTCCCTCACAAGAAATTACTCAAAATGATCAATTGCTTATCACAGTAGTTTCCGATTAATTTAATAGTTGGCAAATTATCAATTAATTGATAAAGCATTGCAGCTGTATGAATATCATGTCACAGGAAAGTCCTCTGCATACAACACGGACATTTTGCTAAAAAGTGTAGCCCTTAGATCATCGTATATGTATCACAATAAAGCATGTAATGCACCTAAAATGCACCTAATCACAGTAAACAAAACTGTGGAGCATTATGTAATTAATGTGTTATTAAATTAGATCTGAACCAAATCTCCAGCAACCACCACATCAGGACACAATGTTGACTGAGCAGCATCGATATTACACTGTAATTTGAAAAATCTCAGATATTACTGATTTTTTTAATGTATTTGTTTTTAACAAAACATATGTAGTACGAGATTCATCATGACTGGAGATAAATCATCAAAACTGTATCTACAGAACGTCCTGCAGATTCTCAGTCTAAATTTTGACCTTACATCCCACAACAGACTTTGGGAGTGTTGTTCATTATTTTACATTTTTAGGCTCGACTAATGTTTATTCTTAATAAGTTATTTGTTCTGTCTGTGAATTATACTCATGACATGCCTTATGTCCAATGCTGAAAGATTTCTGTGTCGTTCAAGATCAGTAACACACTGCTGTATGTACAGTGCAGGCATTACATGATTATTTGATGTGGAGAACTGATAACAAACAGAGCTGGGGCCCTGGATTATGTTTCAATATGGATCTCTTCAGCATCAACCCATTAGCAACAGTAGGATATGGGAGTGACCACACATTTGCATATTGAAGAAGTATATGTAATGTGTTTGTTACTTCACTAGAAAAAGCCTAACAAGTCCATTTTCTGCTGAATACTTTCTCAGTTATTTGATTTGTCATTTGGTCTACACTGTCAGCAATAAACTAAAAATGTCCAATAGTCCCAAACCAAAAATACTAAGACAAACATTATATCAACAATATCCAAATTGTGTTATATCATGACACAATATTACTGAGCAGCATCAATATTACACTGCAATTTGAAAACACAAGTACAAATCATCTGCCCACTCATCTGCTGATTATTAACTGATCCATCACTGAGTATAAGCAATAAAATAAAATGTCCTTAACAAATGCACAACAGTCCAAAACCACAAATAGTAAGAGTAGTTATTAAAACTGAAGAGGCTGACACCAGATATTTCTTTCCATTTTCACTTTTTAAAAAATCCCCTAAATACCCAAAGTGTGTCACAGCATGACCCAGTATTCACCGAGCAGCATCAATACTACACTGCAATTTGAAAAATCTCACATAAATAAACAAAATATAGATGTCACCACACTGAACTAGTGAGCACTGGGACATTTTGTTCATGCCCTTGTCAGGTTTGTTTACAAGTCTTCTCAAATATCCACAAACACCACGTTAGCTAAGTTCTACTCCTGTGATCAACTAAGTAACGTCAGTTAACGGCAGCTAATATTAACGTGAGCTCAAATTAATCAGCGCGTTCACTCGTTTTTTTTAATTAAAAAAAACTTGGCCGGTAGGTTGAGCCGATATTATAATAATTTTCACATTATTTGGTGCATCATAAAATGCATGATCACGCTCAATAAATACTGCCGAGTCAAACTGACAGACGAAGCTAACGCTAGCTACCGTTAACGTTGGTGTTCAGTAGAGGACGTTAGCCAGCTAGCCTTCATTAGCCGCTCCGTTACTTACGATGTACTCTCGAACTTGGCTGTGAAAATTCTGCTCTCTGATAGTAACATCGTCTTCTTCCATTCTTCATATTGCAAAATACAAAAATAAAAAGCTTCAGATCCACTACATTCTAGCTCGTACAACAGGCGGCAGCAACAACAACAACTCCAGCGCCTTCCTGCCTCTGCAAAAAACTGCACTGACTGGTTAAAAGACAGTTTACATCGAAGCAAAACCGCTCCGTGCCAAAAAAAGAAAAAAAAGAAAAACGCCCCAAAATAAAATACGTCATCACCATGCGCCGTGACCCGGAAGAGGATGGTCAGACGCTTGTGGGTCAACAATATTGTCCTCATGGATGGAGATACATGTGCAGACTGAGGTATTTATTTGATTAAAATAGGCAGTATTTTGGCCTTCGTGTGAGCTATTTGTGCCGGTTTATTTTGTTGTGCATTTGACAAGAAGGCTAGCCGGCTAAAGCTGACGCTATCTCAGCTTTCAAACATATAGCCGAAGTTTAACTAACAGAAATGAAAGGCAAGTGGAAGCAGAATAGCAAAAAGAAGAAGAAGGGCAATGCAGTGTTACAGAAGTACATGGTGGCAGTGGATGACTTTCTTAAAAGCAAAAGTGCCACAGAAGAAGCGGAGAATGACCATGGGCTGAGATTTGTGAAAAAGAAAAGCAGAAAGGAACTACGCAAGGAAAAGCGAAAAATGAAGAAAGCCAAAATGAAAAGTCATTATGAGGGCAAAAAGACTGTTTCTTTACCACCTGGTGATGGGGACAACTCGGCAGAGAATGCTGATAAACAGCCACAAGTGCAAAAGAAGAAAACGAATAAATCAAAGAAGGAGGTGCCAAAAACAGAACCAAATAAGTCTGCTCATGCTACTGCAGAGAACTTTAAAAAATCTCCATCTTCTAAGAAAGTTAATAAGCTTAAAGAATCAAGAAAATTGGCACTTTTGGAAGCAAATGAACAAGAGGACAGAGAAATAAAGAAGCTGGAGAGATGTCTCGGATTAAACAAGAGGAAAAACAAGAAAAGTCTCCCTCAGTCTTTTGTGGCAGACGGACTTGATTACATCCTCGGCATGCTTGACTCTGGATCATCAGCTGCGGGGATGTATGATGATGACGACGACATGGACATGGCTAAAGAGAACTTTGAAAAACTTGATGAGAAAGACTCTGAGTTGTCAGGTGAGGATGAAGAAGCTGAGGATGACATGGCGAGTGAGGGCAGCAATGATGATAATGAAAATGAGGTAGATGGCGAGGAGGAGGAGGAGGAGGAGGAAGGTAGTGTTGATGAGGATGAAATGGAAGAAGGGGAGGATGAGGAAATAGCTGATGAAGAGGAAGACGAGGAGGAAATGGAGGATGAAGAGGAGGAAATGGAGGATGAGCTGAATGAGAGTGATGCAGCTGACTCAGGGGAGGAAAATGAAGAGGAAGCAGAGGAAGAAGCAGACAATCCTGACATGAAGACATCCGAACCAAAGTCAGAAGCTGTGAGTTCAAATACGTGAAATATTTGTTTATGATTTGACATCTTGCATGCTGGATAATGGATCTAATCATGAAGTAATTTTGCCAATGCTTAGGTCACCTCTGCAACTGGCAAGTATGTGCCGCCTCATTTGCGTAACATTGGAGATGATAAGCGCAAAGCTGAGCTGGTAAAACTGAAGAGGAATGTGAAAGGCCTGCTGAACAGGTAACCGTCCTGCCACGACACAACACAAGTTTTAAGAATTTGACAGTCCTATAAAATAAGCATTTCTGTTATTACATTGATTCTTTGGGCATATCATTCAATGTGTGCCAGTGGTAATACCAAAGTCCTACTAACACTAGAGCTTAGCATTTAACCAATTTCAAATAGAAATCGCAATTTGACTCAGTGCAATTAGCAAATTAAAAAGGATTCAATTTGTGATTTGTATCATGCAGAACATCTGATCCGTGGTTTAAACTGTCGTGTCAGTGCTTTTGCATATTAATGCTGTCCTCCTTGTGTGACAGTTATGCTTTTGGTGTTATCTCATGTGACAATGCTTCATCATGTTTTTTAAATGTAGTAAATATAAAATGCAGTAAATATCTAACTGAAGTGTGACTGTAAAAAATAATTAGTTGTGAATTGTATTGTAATATCTGTCAGTGAAATTGCAATTAGATATTATCACCAGTGAGGCACATTTCTATAGTTATCACACAATACACTGTTAGTTACAATGCTACATCACTTTGGTAATACTTGTTAATATAAAATACATTTGAATGCACTGAAATAGCCCCCAAAACACACACAGAAATAAAGAAGTTATGCCAAATCCAATTATATAGACCTAAGAATATGGATTGCAGCATTAAAAAAAAGGGACGCTCTGAATCTTGACCTGTAGTTCACATCTATAAATGGGACATTTGCGTTTTAGCTATAAGACTGAGATGTAAGCATAAGATTTTTGAAAATATCTTTTGAAGATCTTTAGTAGACTGTTCAGCAACTAACTGTAAAGTACAGGTCAGTGTTCTCAAAACAGAAAGCCTCTTTTCTGTTGAATAGACACTAAATTCCTACCATTGACTCAAAACACAGTGCTCCCCTCAAATATCGTGCACAAGATGGGCTGTTTCCATTTGAGGGTATAATCAGTTTACCTGACTTCTCGCCTGCATCCCAACTTTGTTTTGCTAAAATTTTTCAAAAATAAAGTGCTAAAGTGTCTCAAACTAATGATTAATGCGACGCCTTCAGGTTAAGTGAGCCCAACATGGCGTCCATCTGTGGTCAGCTGGAGGAGCTGTACATGAGCTGCAGCAGGAAGGACATGAGCGACACCCTGACAGAGGTGCTCCTAGCAGCCTGCGTCACCCCGACCCTGATGCCGGACAGACTACTGATGGAGCACGTCCTGCTGGTCAGCATCCTCCATCATGCTGTGGGGCTGGAGGTAAGAACGACTTCTTAAATCCTAAATTTCGAGCTAAAGACATTTAAACAGCTAAAAATCATCAAGAAAACAAGCTACCGGCCATCATATGTGATCACGGATGTTGTCGTCTCTGCATTAAAACACTAAATGCCTGTACATGGAGCTTTTAGGCAGGTTTTAGTCTGTGCAGGTAAATCTGTTTGGAGACTTTCAGCTCACTATCTGCTCCACTGATCAGAGCCAAACAGCGTTTGATTGTACCTGACTTTGTGAGAGATAGTAACCACTGACCTGAAAACTAACATCAGCCTTTGGATTATTCATTAGAGGCTTTTTTCCAAGGGATTAGTCTTGTTCACACATCTCAACTGTAAGCTAATACCCTTTAGATTAATTGGAAAGCGGTAGGTGACACTCTGATTTCCTTTGCTTTGAGGTGTAACAGGATCGTTATCTCTCCTTTGTATTGACTTGTAATTCTTCAAATGACCTGAAACAAGTTTATTAGTGAAATTAGTCTATGTCAACAGTTGGCAAGTCACAGTCTGAGGAGTGTTTGGAGGACACTTTAGTGTTTTGGCAACTTGATCATATTGTTGTAGGGTTTCCATCACTTACAATGATAACATTTTACTCTCTAGATGCAGTCGAATAGCCAAAAAATGACCTTTCATGTCTTTTCCTACACACTTGATGAATTCTCCTTCACATCTTCCTTTGACCTCGTGATATTTCCTCTGAGATCAGGGAAGGATGTGGAGGAGAATTCATATGGATGTATTAGAAGGCAAGCAAGAGAATTCAACTGCATTTAAACTGAAAAATGTAATAATGTAACATGCTGATGTGGGTGTGCTGCCAGTGGTACATCGCTTTAAATTTTGCTGCTACAAGGAATTGTAGAACTACAATCGCCTGTTCTTTTGTCAAGGATGTACATTGTGCTGAAGGAGATAAGAAAGCAAGGACTGAAGCACCTTTCCTCAGCATTTAGAGAATTCGACCAGCTCTTATCAAGACTCCCACTTAGATAATTCTGGGTCATTAATGCAGTTAGGAATCTTCCAAAGCAAAAAAGACTTTTGCAACACAACCATTACCTTTACTGCTGAGTCCATGAGGTTCAACCTTAATTTCTGTACATTAGGCAGCTTTTTTAAGACAAGTGCATGATATTGTGTTCATGCAAACTGTAGTGTCTGTTTCCAGCCTGCCCTGTGTTGTGTCTTTAGATAGATCTCACATTGCTCATATGTTATCAACCACAGATACTAACTGCAACTGTAATTACATTTGACCTTTTCCAGGTCGGAGCCCATTTTCTGGAGACAGTTGTGCGAAGGTTTGACGACTTGTACAAGAACCCGAGTGAAAGCAAGGAGTGCGACAACCTGATCGCCATTGTTGCTCACCTCTATAACTTCCAAGTGGTACATTCCACCCTCATTTTTGACATCCTAAAACTGCTGGTGGGAACATTTACAGAGAAGGACATTGAACTAGTTCTGTTTGTGCTGAAAAATGTCGGCTTTGCCCTGAGGAAAGATGACGCTCTGGCTCTCAAGGAGCTCATCTCTGAAGCCCAACGCAAGGCCAGCGAGATGGGCTCGAAGTTTAAGGATCAGACCAGGGTAGGGCAAACAGAATGACTATTTTCTATAATTGCTGTTGTTTCCTAACTACATATCATTGACTGTAGAGCTGTGCAATTGTTTTTTTGTGTGTGTATCAAGTTTGGAAGCTTATCTGACACATGTGAATTTGTCTTCAGGTGCGTTTCATGCTGGAAACCATGCTGGCTTTAAAAAACAATGATATGAGGAAGATCCCTGGCTATGATCCTGAGCCTGTGGAGAGACTGAGGAAGTTGCAAAGGACTCTGGTAGGTGATGGCCATATTTGGTTTAATATGTCCTTATTTGTCCCTACATTGATAAAAAAAATAGATGTGGATTTTATATATATATATTTAGCTTATAGGCCCTCATTTTATTGATCAGCTGATCATGGTTATTATATTCTTTCCAGATAATGTTATTTCCATAGCAGCCTCCACTTGTACCACCAGGGGGCCCCACAGTATCATCTTTACAAAGTGGCACTCCAAAGTGTTGCAGTGTCAACTTGCTAATGTCCTGTTCTTTTATATTTTATGAGTGCTGTTATTCTACTAATTCCAATTGTGCAATGTGTGGTACTCAGATCCACCGGAGTGCAGGGGGCAGCGACGTGAAACTGAGGGTCTCTCTGGATAATCTCCTGGCAGCAGAGCAGGTGGGCCGCTGGTGGATCGTCGGCTCGTCGTGGAGCGGAGCGCCCATGATCAGCAAACAAGGAGACACAACCGCAAAACACAGTACTGCTGAAGGACAGGTAGAGTACTGGAACCACAGAAAACATGATGTTATAGCAGAGCAAATGTTTTAAGTGGGAATCCTTGTCCGGATGTGTTTGGGTACCTAGCAGCTGCTTCCTAAGAAAAAGGCTTAAACCGTGCTGTGATAGGACAGCAGATACTGAATCACATTTGTTAGTACAATATCATTACGCTAAATGTTAATGTTACGCCATTATTGGTCAGTGTTAAGGCTGGATATTGAACCTCAATCAATTGTTAGGGCAAACAAAAATATGTCAGTATCATAAACTATAAAATGTTCTTGTCCTTTGGCTCATATTACGACATTGTGTAACATTTGGGGAGTTTGTCTTGTCCTTGTTAAATAAAGATGGGGTTTAGAAAAAAAAAACATTTTTAGATTTCTCAAGGTAAGTTTTGAGAAATACGTTTTTTTTTTGTTTTGTTTTTGTTAATAATCAGTAACAAAAACCTCACACAGTGTGAAAGTGTGTGTTTGACAATACTAGCATTTCTAACTTACTCTTTTTCATTGTTTTGTTTCTTCCAGTTTAGTGCTAAAGTTTTAGACCTGGCCAGGAAACAGAGGATGAACACTGATGTCAGAAGAAACATCTTCTGTGTGATAATGACCAGCGAAGATTACCTGGACGCATTTGAGAAACTGTTGAGGTTTGTTTTGGCTCACATCTGTGTCCCCTTTCAATAAATTAGTCGAGCTAAGATGGAATGAAAGAAATACGATGTGCTGTTTATAAGTCCAGCCCATTTGGAAGGTTAATTTTTATTTTTTTTTCAAAGCTTTTATTTATTTATTTATTTTTATGTTGAAGGATGGGTCTGAAGGACAAGCAGGAGAGAGAGATTGTTCATGTTCTGATGGACTGCTGTCTGCAAGAGAAAACCTTCAACGCCTTTTATGCTGTATTGGGGGAGAAGTTCTGCTCCCATGACCGCCGCTTTCAGGTATTCTTACTAACATGAGTTGTGCAAAACAGGTAGCATCAGGTTGCATGTCCAATTCATTGTTAATATATATACATAAAGCAATCAATGCATTGTCTGTATGATGATTTAAAGTTACTGAAATCAGATAAGTTAATGTCGATACTGAAAAGGGGTACATTTAATTCCCTGGTATATGTGTGTGACCACCCAGTCTCCTAAACTGTGTGTGACCTGTGTGTGGCCCGGAGTTCACCTCAGCAGTGTGGGACCCTCTAACACCTCTCACTTCTGATTTGACTCAAACTGTGACTACAAACAATGGGGGTGAGACCACACTTCCTTCTTTGCTGCCATGTAGGCCAGCAGCTCATATCAGAAACTGATGACTATTGTCCTCATCAAAGAGCCTGAAATGGAGCTGGTGGGAACGTTTGCGGTTCACATGTAAACTGGATCCAGAAGAGAGGGTTACCTGTGTAGTGAGGCTGCAGTCTTTTTTTCTGTGTGTTTGTGGATTTAAATATTCCGTCAAACCTTCTCTGTCTTCTCCTAGATGACTTTCCAGTTCAGCCTATGGGACAAGTTCAGAGAGCTGTCCAACCTTCCCAGCAGCACCTTCAACAATCTGGTCCAGCTGGTCACCCGCTTCCTTCAGGCAAAGTGCCTCTCACTGTCCATTCTCAAAGTAAGAGATGTGTTGTGAGTAGGGTAATTAGGTTAGCTTGAATTAACTTAAAACATATTTTTTTACAGCCACCTCTATGTTTTGTCTTCATAGGTAATAGAGTTTGGGGAGCTCGATAAGCCCACAGTGCGCTTCTTGCGTCAGCTGCTAACTAAACTGTTTAAAGAAACAGAGCCAGAGGAGTTAGCAAGCATATTTGGAAGGTAAGCATCTTTGTCCATATACTTGGGACACGTCCACACAAATACTCTGATTGATCTCTGTCGATGTCAGATATTCACCACCACCACTGTTCTCGGAGATGGTTGAAGCAGCCACACACATCTACTAATGAGCCTTTCCAAACACACATAAGAAGACAAAAGAACACAACAGCCTAACAAACCTAATATTATTTTTACAGCAATTTATTAGAAGCTCATAGGACAGTAGATCAGGAAAAGCAATCTTTGTGTATAAACTGTAGTACTGGCTAAACCTACGGTGAAGAAAAGCAGTAGACTATTTCCTGATTTTATCTTTTGTAATAATTATGGCTAAAACCTGCTATTTCTAATCATTTTTTAATTTTATTTGGTTTCTGGCAATCATCTTGTGACTCCCTTGTCAGTGTCTTTCAGCCTTTATTTTGGGAACCACTGATCCAGATAGAAATAACCTGTATTTGTACTAACAGGCCTTGAAACCACCTATCATTTAACAATTAACATGCAGTAGACATGCCGTTGTAAACAGGGAACTAAGAGCTGGTTAAGTTTTTTGTGTAAAATATTACCGAACAGTAAGACCTGAGATTTCTTTGCGTGTGCTGTTAATGAGGTTGGATTGTTCCAGGTGATGTGTTTGTTTTCTTATGAACAGTCACATAATAGAGCTGTGATAAATTAGGGAATGAAACACTGTGGCTGATAAGACCCAATCAAGAAACAAACATAGGTGTTTGTTTCTTAAAAGTATGTATTTCATCCAGGCTAAAGTACAATTCTGTAGTCTTCAAACTAAAAGTCTCCGTTTTAAGGTTTCTAAAATGGCAGAGTAGTGAAAATGTAGCAAGAGTTTTAAAATGAGAATTTATTAGTGTGGGATGTAGCCTTAGTTGTTAAGTTTGTAGAGTTAAAGGTTCAAATTTATCCAAGTTATGACACAGTGAAAACGAAGGTATAAAGGAGTTTACAGCTCTGTGAGGCTGTAAAGTGATTTGGAAAAATCAGGTGATCACCAGAGTCATTAAGATTTGTCCTCTGGGGAGCATGTGTGTCTGTACAACATCCCAATCCATCGAATAGTGTTTCAGATATTTTGGTCTGGATAAAAATGGTGAGACCAAAAATTAGCATCTGTATAGCTTATATATATATATATATATTTGCTGTTAGCACTGCTAAAAAAAAAAATCAGTTTTAATTGTTGAGCAATGCTAACTTCTATTAGACAACATTAAAAATAAATAAATAGATAAATAAAAAATACACTCCTATTTACTATTTCAAGTCACAATTATCTAGCACATTATATATACAATATTATAAAGTGAAACCCAACAACTCCAGAGATTCCCTTTGAACAAGCGCTTGACAACAGTGGAGAGGACAAACTACCTTTTACCTGAAAGAGACCTCCAGGAGAGCCAGTCTCAGGGTGGGCGACCATCTGCCTCGACCCGTTGGGGAGAGGGGAGAGCCGAGAGGGAAAATATGAGCAGTGAGAAACAGACAGACAACAAACAAGAGGACAAAACGTCCTTCACACTATGTGAAAGCCTGAAAATCAATGTCTCTCATTGTTTCCCATCCACCAGGATTTCAGGAATTCCCAAGCTTGGAATGCTGCGGGAGGGCTTGAAGCTTTTCATCAGCCACTTCCTCCTGAAGAATGCCCAGTCGCAGGGACCAGCTGAGCAAGCAGCAGTGCTGTCAGAGTGCGCCCAGGTCGCCACCAAAGCCATGGAGGCCAAAGAGGCCAAGCTCAAACTGTAAAACACACACACACACACACACACACACACACACACACACACACACACACACACACACACACACCAGAAAGCCAAAAGACATGCTGTGGAAAAAAAAAAGTGGAACAGAGGGAGGCTTGTTGGGGTGAAAATGCTTCACAGTACAAAAACACAAACGTACAGTTTGCTTAAAGAAGAAATGAAAATGTTTTTGATATTAAATTAAGTGTGAGTTGAGACAGCCTCTTGATTGTTTTTATTTCTGGATGATATTGTCTCAGCACTATGTACAATATTCTAGTTCTTCTTCAACTTTATTATTTTGTAATAAATAAATAACACCTTTAACCTGTGTTTAGTGATGATTTGATAGCAGTATCATAATAATTGTATATTTTCAGCCACTAGATACACTGTCAATGCTGGTGCTTGTATATTTGTTAAAAACGGACAACAAATATTGTAACTTACCGGATTAATAACAACGTTCATGTCATAATAACATCAATAAATTTCAAACCTTTTGCTTAAAGCTTTGACTCATTTCTAGAGAGAAAGAAATCATTTTCATATCTTCTTCTGTGCCTTAACATTTCCATCTGAGACAGCCTTATTACAGAGTTAATATTGCACCGTTCAGACACCTGGAGCCATTCTTCTGGGCTTTACTGAGTCTATTTACACCATACGCAGAATAAAGCATATTTTAATCAAGTCTTTTTCAGTCCCAAACCCAGCTGATCAGTGAAAATCCTTTTGTTGATATTTCCACTTGGCTGCTGTGAGTGTGACTTAAACAGTGGGAACAGAGGGACGCCGGTTCATTCAGTGTTTACACGCCCTGATGAAATGACCCGGGGGGATTGAATCGGCCCTATTCTGTTTGCTCGCTTGACACTAGTGTCCTCCCGCATGGTTAGCATAGCAGAGTCATTCTGTTACATTTGATACTTGCTCCTATTAATTAGCTCCATTGGTGTGGCCTGTATCAATCTAAGGCTGGAGCGCTGCCTGAGGTCAGGAATCGGCCACCGAGGTCAGCCAGAGGAAATGTTCCTCACTGACTGCACAGTGAGCTCATGTTGAAGCGAGGTAAGAGCTTTTTTTTAATTCAAGGTAACTTTTAGGAATCGGTGGTGGTTAAAGGGGCTTGAAGAGCACATCACTTCATCAACGCGAGGACGCAAACGCACTGAAGAAATGAGAAAAACGTGAGAACTTGCATGTTAAAAAGTGGAGATAATGGGATCAATAGGCCTCACTGTGCAGTCCATTGTCTGCAGCCGTGAGCCTGAGAGTTTCCTTCAGCTTCACCTGGTGTACTCTGGTTGGGTCTGACCCTCGGCTGAACTTTGATTTCGTCTGCTATAGCTAAAGCAAACAGCTGAAGATAACCAGCAGATCCTTTGGTAATCCTGTTACAAATGGCACATAATCAGTCAAACCCTGCTGCAGATTAAGCCTGATGACTGCCAGAAAAATGATAACACGGAAAATCAATTTGTTTTCTGGAAAGTAGCTGATGCATAGTGAGAGCACATGCACAGGTGAGTATTTAAATTGTCCCGAAAGCTCAGTCGGATTGGTTGTCATCACCTGATTTCACCAAAATATATAAAAATAAGGAACCAGACTGAATTAGGATTATAATGGATATCAACACATTAGACAGCAACACAGGCTGAGTGTACAAATGTTTTGTGTAGGTTGGAAAATGAGATTTAGTTTAAATTTAAAGACAATTTTTCTTTTTTTAAAAAGCAGAGCTGAAGACTAAATTATAAGGCAAACAGGAAAAAGGCATTTATATCATAGGCACACATTCTTGCATATTTAATCCAACCTGACCCATCCAAGAAAGAAATACTTCATGCCCATATTTCAACATAAAAGTGCAACCTATGGGGTTATTAATTCTGTATAATAGCATTTTTATAATAATGTTAATAATATTAATTCCCTTGGCTAAGCTTAAAATGATTTCAGGGCTGAAAATAGTTGCCTGAGCAGCCAAGCTGTCGCTTAACACGCCTTGTAAATGGTTTATTAATACGAGCCCATTGCTAGTGTGGTGTGAAATGTTTCCTCCGTCTGACTGCCTACTTGCTGTTTGCTCTCGCTGCACGTTTGCACAGATCCGACAGCGCTATTAACAGTAATTCCCATGACCCGACCTGTCAGAGCAAGGAGAAAAACACAAGCCTCTGTCCGCCTGCAGCCTGAAACACTGCAAGTAAACCATAAATCAAAGGACAGCAGGATGAGGTGGAGGGGGGAAAAAAAGCGAGAAATAAATGCGCCAAAATCTAAGTTTTCTATAAAACATTTTTTATTTCACATTGTTTGCAGCAAGAGAGACGCTAAACAATAATTTAGCATGCACTTGAATGACTATTTTATAAATACAGTATAGAAAAATAAACATAACATTTTGCAGCTTGGTATGACGCACTGGACTGAAGTTTGAACCACGAAGAACAAAACCAGACAACACACGGTTTAGTGTGGGGGGGGGGGGCTATAGGATATCATTGAAATATTATTGCTGACAAACTAACCATCACAACAGGGACAGATTGCAAAAATCCTGAGCCAGTTTACAGCGTTTGCATATAACCATGCAATAAGTCACAGTTTACCTATAGCCGAGTGATGCTCCTATGTGTGGATACAATCTCCTGCGTTTATTGCTTGTTTATGACACGAGGGTCTATTTTTGACCTAATTTTTTTATTCTTTTCATAACAACAACAAAAAAAAATCTCAATAATTCCATGTAGAGGTTGGATTACATGCAACTGCATTTTACAGCGAAAACCCCCCAAAGTCACTAGAAATGGAGATTTTCCACTTTCTTTTTTTTCTTTTTCTTTTTTTTTTTTGCTTCAAGGCTGTGGACTTATGTCACTGTTGTGATTCCTCTCGTCGTCTGAAGAGCAGTCTGATGAGTTGTACAGGAAATTGTCGCCCTCGTCGTCGTCACTGTCCCTGAAGTCTCTTATTCTGCCGTTTTTTGAGTCTGTCTTGCTGTGATAATCCGACTGTTCGAGTCCGTCTGATTTCTCCTGGCCGCCCTTGGCTCCTTTCTGCTTCTCGGCCTCCTGGGCGGCCTGCTCTTTGGCCTTCTTGCTTCTCTTCCACTTCATGCGTCTGTTCTGGAACCAGATTTTAACCTAGAGAAAGAATAAATAATTACGTTTAATTGATTTACGCATATATATCCAGGACATGTCTAATTTCCTGGTGGCTTAGACGCACAACAAAGCTGCTGTGGCTGCAGCGCCCATGACTTTTTCCAAGCCAAATCAATTACCCTTTGTGTCCCTTGATCTCCTATCATCTATATAGCGTACACTGTCTTAAAATGTCATAAAAATACCTTCAAAATACTTTCAAATACCGTGTAAAGAAAAAGGCGAACGGTGCGTAACTGTGCGTAAAGGTCACCAGTCCATCTGACATTGACCTCCTCGGTGTTACAGATATCCCACACTGAAAACTCGTCAAAATTCTCATTTAATCTTGAATTGAGTTTAAATTAAATCAAGTCAAAATGATTTTAATATAAAGATCCAACTAGTATTTTTCAATGCACATTTGTTTAAAATTAAAAAAGAATAGGGTTCAATCAAAATTCATTATAATTTCGCGTTTATTTTGTAAACTAAAAAAACAAGCATTTGTTGGATATTTGTAACCCCTTAAATACAACGCGCCACATGTGCAGACAATAATTTACCTGAGTTTCTGTCAGCATGAGGGACGTGGCCACTTCAAATCGCTTCGGTCGTGACAGATACTTATTAAGTTTGAACTGATGCTCCAGTTCCAGCAGCTGCTGACTTGTGAATGCAGTTCTTGGTCTTCTGCACTTTCCAAGCAAGTTGGACTGCGCCTGAGCTGCAAGAAGAAAACAAATCAAGAAAAAAATAAATCAATTCCATGCACCTGAGAGTATTTTACAATGATATTTGACATATATTTTAATACAAACTATGTCCAACAGCTGGTATATTAGAATAAATTAGATCACAAATGAATCATAATATTCAAAAACCTTTCTGTTGTGAGGGATACTTCAAAATCAGTATAAATTCGCCAGCCTTCTTATGGCTCAGTATAACAGGCTACATTTCCTCGGCTGTCCGTGTTTTCTGCTCCACATATGAATATGTCCATAGACAAGCTATTTGCCACTTCATTTTGAACAAATCTGTTAAAACGAGCAGAAACAAAAAGGCAGTATCTGGTGAGCAAATAGCATGTCGACTGTGGGTTTCACACTCCTCTGCCACTTTCCCACTGTCCATTATCTGTCCATTTTAGTTCCTTTCAGAAAAACCATCACTTATGACAGCCTCTTCGGTCAGACTATAACGTCTGGATAGAATTTTGCACCAGAAGATTAAAAAAATAAACTAAAATAAGGATTTAGCGTTGAGCTTCTCCTAAAGCGTCATGCAGGCCTGCGTTATTTTTAAAGCTGTTTAATATGTTATGGTTAAATAACGCAAATTGGACTTCTTTGGGATGCCACACATAGTTCATAGACTAGATCAGATTTTTAGATTTATTTGGACTAAACAGCAGAGAAAACAGACAGATTATTGCGCAACGAAATTGTTACTTACAATTGAAGTCAGACATTTTGGGAAGCATCATCCCGGCTGTGGAGACCCGGAGCCAGTGGTCCAGCTGGAAGGTGCTGGCTGTCAGTTTAATGGGATCACTGGTGTGGTGGTGATGGGAGCCGTGTGGATACGAGTAGGACAGGGCAGGGTGTTGGCCTGTGAGGGCAGCAGCGGAGTAGGTGTACATGGGATGGCCGTAGAGAGCCTGCGCCGGGATCCCTGCAGTGCTCTGCGGATGTAATCCAACCATGCTGTGCGGGCTGTTGAGGAAACCCGGTTTGGGAATCAGCCCGCAGGTGGAAATCCTCGGCGGAGACGGCGTCTCGGTGCGTAAAGACTCGGCGCTGGTGGTCAGCTCCGGGGCTGCCACGCTCCCAGACGACGGGATGGAGGACGAGGAGGACAGGGAAGTCACAAGAGCGAGCGGCGAGG